AAAGGAAAAATAACAAACTTTTTTTTTTTTTTTTTTAATAAATGTTGAAAAATTCCAGCCATGCCTTCTTGTTAGCTCATCATTCTTTGCTCTCTGAGTTGAAGATGTGCTTTCAGTGTTCTTGTCTTGTGGTCTTCTTCTCTTTAGTGTTGATCAGTCTCTCTCTTTCTGCCACATGCACACACATTTCTCCTGCACTCTTGAGGCTCATCAAAGGCGATCACAAAAAGCCTGGTGAGCACACATCTCTGCTTATCTAAACATTAAAGCAGTGAGCCTTCATATTTCTGCAAAGTATAGTTTTGATACACAAGCATTTAGTGGAAACAGACCCAGTCAAACCTGTCTTACTTAGGTGCACTCAGTATTTTTTTTTCTGTTGCACTTATGTAACATCCTTTTGAACTCATACTGACACCTAGTGGTGTGGATGAAATGTCATGCTAATATTTTAACGACTGATGCGGTTGTAGAAATGCGCCATTTGCTGTCCTACATTAATTTATCGTGTGAATTAAAGTTTTCGCTAACAGGTGGGTTAACAACATAAAGTGAGTAGCATTCAATTGGTCATATCATCTCAAAATGGCGGATTCCATGAAGCCAATAAAATAAAACCACTTTTATTAGGCTATACTGTACATGTACATGGATTTAAACATATTTCATATACCTACGTATTTTCAAAATTAATTAAAAAAAGTTTTCTTTTTGTAATCATGAAAAAGTGCACTTTTAAGATATGTGAACAAATTACAAGTACACAATACATTCATATGCGAGTGAAACATGACGATATTTCTAAGAAAACAAATTCTCATCACCCGTTTGCATGAAAGTGAAAGACTAACTTTACATGAAAAGAAGATGTTTAATCATATGATGACCTTTTTTTTTTTTTTTTTTTTTCATGCTGATTTGCTGCTCAAGAAATTATTATTATTATCAATATTTTAAACAGTTGAGTAGATTTTGTTCAGGATTCTTTGATGAATAGAAATATCAAAAGATCAGCATTTATCTGAAATAAAAAGCTTTTGTAACATTATACACTATTCCATTCAAAAGCTTGGAGTCAGTATGATTTCCTTTTTTTTTTTTTTTTTTTGCTCCTCACATTTGTGTTTGTTTGGACTTGTGCATTGTGTGTGTTTTGTGTGTGCATGCTTTTGTGCTGTGAATATGTGTCTGCTGGTGGGTGTGAGTGCGCGTGTTTTGTGTGTCTGCTTTTTGTAGTGACCATGTGGCTGGATTTGCTGACTGACCCCTTGGACACGCTTTGAGGCTCTATTGATGCAGCAATGAATCAAATATTTGAGAATAATATTTCTTCAGTGAACACAGCAGTTCATGCTGAGAATATGGTGTCAGGTGGGGAAGTGGAGAATAGCAGAAAGGGAAATGAGGTCAATCATTTGTTTTTACAGTAGGTCCATCTTTAAATAGAATTACTAATGATTTTCCTGTTGCTAATGGAGAACTATTCCACTATTAGCCGGGTTTTTGTTAAAATATATTTTTTGCTCTCTTAACTCTTGCTGTTGCTTACACATGCACAACATATTCATTAATTTTGTCTGTTTTTTTTTTAAGGTGCCATGCTGAATGAGTGTGAGGTGTCCGAAGTTATTATCTACGGATGTAATTATACACTAACTGTCGATTTATTTGGAAAGAAAATTTGGCCGTTTATAATAGAAAAATGTTCCTGGTTAGTTTCAGTATGGCGAGTATGAATAAGTGCACATGGAGATATTTCAGTCAGTTATTTCTCTGGGTTTTGGTTGTTTCATGTAGCTATTCAAGGCTAAAGTGGTCATGCATCCTGTAAATTAGCTGTCATCCAAATTTCGATTTTGCACCAGAGTATGATGGTTTTGTTTGAACATTTTGTGTTTGGTCAGATTAAACGGGCTGCTGGTATTTTGTACAGAGATGATTCTGTCAAGCCATGAGAGAAAACTATATGCAGAGACAGAAAGGAATGTTTGCACACTAGTTGCACATAAATGCATTTAGCCAATCACACGAAAACGATTGTGATGGTAATATTATGCAAAGAAAGCTATCTCGGGATTCTTATGCAACGCTTGTCAGGTTCACAATGGGTAAGGTGCCATGCTGAATGAGTGTGAGGTGTCCGAAGTTATTATCTACGGATGTAATTATACACTAACTGTCGATTTATTTGGAAAGAAAATTTGGCCGTTTATAATAGAAAAATGTTCCTGGTTAGTTTCAGTATGGCGAGTATGAATAAGTGCACATGGAGATATTTCAGTCAGTTATTTCTCTGGGTTTTGGTTGTTTCATGTAGCTATTCAAGGCTAAAGTGGTCATGCATCCTGTAAATTAGCTGTCATCCAAATTTCGATTTTGCACCAGAGTATGATGGTTTTGTTTGAACATTTTGTGTTTGGTCAGATTAAACGGGCTGCTGGTATTTTGTACAGAGATGATTCTGTCAAGCCATGAGAGAAAACTATATGCAGAGACAGAAAGGAATGTTTGCACACTAGTTGCACATAAATGCATTTAGCCAATCACACGAAAACGATTGTGATGGTAATATTATGCAAAGAAAGCTATCTCGGGATTCTTATGCAACGCTTGTCAGGTTCACAATGGGTGCTTTTGGTTAAGCCTTGCTCAGGTTTGCTTTCAGGGCAATTTTATGTTATGTTGGATGTTTTTAAAATGACATACTGTACATAGAATAAAATGCATCCATCAGCTAAGGTCTATATAGAAGGGTCAATGTATCAAGGCCGTCTGTTTCTCGCAATAGACGTTAACAGACCTACACATGCACACATCTGTTTTGCTGTCATGTTAGTGCTGTTTCCTCTCAGCGATCCACAGACCAACTGCCAAAGCTTCCACATGTTCATTTCATTCAGCTTCTCTTACAGGATGTGCCTGATGAGACATAAAACACTCTAGTTTGTGACAGAACTGAATGCTACAAAAGACAGCAATAGAACCTCACTTTTAACATTATTAGACTGGACAGTACTGTTAAAATAATATTCGCAACATTACTAATAATTTTAAACAAGGATGTAAATGGTAAAAAAAAAAAAAAAAGATAAAAAAA